GCGCCAAAGCGCTATGCTTGCTGGAAATTACGTCCATTCCAGCGCCGCGGCGCCCAAACTCGGCGTCAAAGCGCCCTGCTTGCTGGAAATTATGTCCGCTTTTAGATGTGATAAAACTTAACAAATTCTTATATATTATATTTAAATAATCCTAACAAAACAACAAGCAATAATAACTCTCAAAAATAAATCATCTAATGATATTAATAATTACATACTATCTTTAGTATATGGTGAATTAAAATCTTACTATAGTTATGACACAATTGCATCTTCATCTCAAAACATAGATAAACTTAATCTCTTATATCCGTAAGAATTTCTACACACTCTAAACTTTAATGACATACCACCACATGAATTAAACCTTAAACTTGGAACTCCTATAATGTTATTAAGAAATCTAAATCAATCTATTGGACTATGTAATGGAACAAGACTTATTATTACACAATTGAATAATAAAATTATAGAATGACAAATCATAAGCTCTAATAATACTAATTAAAAAGTTTATGTTCCAAGAAGAGAAATGATTGTACATGAATCTAAATGGCCATTTGTACTAAAAGACGACAATTTCTTGTATAAATTTGTTATGCAATGATAATAAATAAAAGTCAAAGATAATCTTTAAATAAAATTAGACTATATTTAGAAAATGAAATTTTTACGCATGGCCAATTATACGTTGTTTTATCTAGAGCAACAACCCCAAAAGGATTACATATAATAATTCATAATTCAATAATTAAATATCCAAACCACATTAAAAATATTGTTTACAAAGAAATTGTACACAATATTACATAAAAATATAGAGTATGACATAAAAATATATATGATATCAGTAATTTAGATATATATCAAATAAAATTGTTTATTCATATACTAAACAATTATTTATTACTTTTGAGAACTAGGCAAAATGACAATACCGATTTGTGCACTCAAATCAAATGAAGTATATGCAACTATCATAACAAGAATTTTCAAGTTATGGACGAACAATGATTTCATCATCGGACATCCAAAAACACCGGACTCAAAAAGATTAAGTACAAGATAAAACATATTTACTAACTTATATCAGTTATCAATAAAAAAAAACATAATTTATTATGTCGAATACATATCTTAATAATTTTTTATCATTTCAACTCTGAATCAAAAACAACAAAATCATTAAGAAAACATCCTACAACTAGGTAATACAACTACTTCTAAATTCCTTTATTTACATTACATATAATTAAAGATTTCTAATTTCCTCAATCATGATTATTATTTTTACTTAAATTTATACATTGCAGTCAAAGAGAGCATAAGGAAAAAATAGAAGAAAAACTCCAAGACATTGTAAGAAACCCTTAATTAAAATATAATATAAATATATATATATATGTATATATCAAGTAATCCTGTACTATAAAAATTTCTAATTTTTTTTTTATTTTTTATAATAGGACATTATGAAGAAAAACTCCAAGACATTGTAAGAAACCCTTAATTAAATTATAATATATATATATGTATATACTATAAAAATTTCTAATTTTTTTTTTATTTTTTATAATAGGACATTATATCCTGCCGCAATGAGCGGGTAAATAGCTAGTATAACTTTCTATTAAACAATTTGGCAGAAAGTGCTGATTTTAAGATGAAGCTGTGAATTTTTGAGAAATTAATTATGATAGTTCACGGGTAAGAGACGAGTAAAATACAATTTTAAAGCTTAATTTCCAGATGTGCCCCTTATATAATAATTTTGTTTCTTATAACAACGTGTTAAGCTTTGGGGTGTGGAGTGTAATTGCCAAATTTTTTAAGTTTAGGAAGAAAATTACCAGAATTATAAGTATAATGATTAACTTGCCAAACAGTAGAAAGTACAGAAAGCATTGGTGGCGGAAATCAGATTTGTAACTTATAAGCATAACATAACAAATGCTCCTACAAAAAAATTAAAGGAAAAAAAAAGAATTTTTTATAGTGAAACCTCAATGGAGCACTGTTTTTTTATTATTAAATTATTTTTTCAACGATTAAATCTGCAGTAATATTAATTATGTGCGGCTTGTTGTAAATTTTTAATACGAATCCATATCATCTAACCGTTAAAAAACTAATTTAACAGTAAAAAAAATAATACTCCACTGGGGGATGCACTTTTGGCTGAATTGAAAGACTATTTGGGTTGCGCTCAACAGTCTATGCAGGACCATGCTAATAAGAAGCGCCGCTCTGTGACATTTGAGGTGAGAGACATGGTTTATTTGAAACTCCAGTCGTATCGACATCGAGCGCTGGCGCGTGTAGTGAATGAAAAGCTTGCGCCTCGTTATTACGGGCCGTTTCATATCCTTGCTCGCGTTGGCCCAGTGACGTACCGGTTCACACTCGGATTCACCCGGTTTTTCATGTTTCCCGTTTGAAGAAGGCTCTGTTCTACCATAAAAAATTTCAAAAAAAAACCAAGAAAATGAAAATGTCGAATGGCAATTGTATTTCAGTTTTGTATTGCTTTTGAAAGTTTGTTTTAGATTGATAAAAAAAACAAAAAACAAAAAAAAAAACAAGTTAAGCATTAGGTAAATCCTGTTTTTAGGCGTTTGCCGTAATTTTTAGATTTAATAAAATTTCAATAATAATAAGTGAATAATATTCCAAATCTATCCATTTTATTTATCAATGTAACGAATAAAAAAGGGTTTACAGCCCCATGTTTTTTAAAATAAAAAAAAATTGGCCAGCCATGAAAACAGAGAAAACTGAAAAGACTATTCCCTGCTCTAGTATCTCATCTCTTAGAGTCCGTTTAGTTGGAGGATTTGTTCTCTGATTCGAATTATAGTTCATGGGTCGTTATAATATTTTTTCTCACAAAAAATACACTTAAATAAAAAATAATTCTAATCTCATAATTCTAATCTCATAATTTTAATTCATGAACCAAACGGACTTTTATTCTAGCAAATCTAGCCATTCCCCCGTAGGGAATGAAATGAGAGAGCGGGGTAGATGAACGAGTCTGCGAGAGAAGAAAGAGAGATGAGCGAGTCTGCGAGAGAAGAGAGAAAGACGTGTGCAAGAGAGAGAAACAGTGAGCGAGATAAGAGAGGAGAAAAGAGAAATGAGGGGTAAAATTGGAAGTTCATTTTAATTTCTATAACCACCGGATTTTCCTAAGAAAAAGAAAAGTGGGGACCGGTGTTATTTTCCGTGTATGATAATAGGTCATTGATCAAATTTTCCAATAAAGGGGGTTAAATAATAACTTTTTCAAGCGTTTTAAGTTTGTTCATTTATATTTTTGAATTATGGTGACTTAAATTCATATCTTGATTTGACTTAAGCTATATTTGAGCACGGTTTGAATTGGGATTCTAATTGAGTTTGTGTTTGAATGTGCACATTTTGAGTTATAGTTTGAATTGAGAATATATTTGAGTTTGTGTTTGAGTGGGTCAAAACTTAAATTTGTATTTAGATAGTATTTTAATAAAAAATTAATGGTGATGAAATATTTTAATAGGGTAATGGGTTTTATTCGACTATTCGTTGTGAACGTATAAAAAAAATCATATCAATCAAAATTAAAACGAAAAAATTATGACGTTTTTAAAAATAGAAAAAACAATGTTCATTAATTTGAGTTTGAGTTGAGGAACTTGAGTTGAATGAAGAACTTGAACTCAGATTTTAGCCGCAAACTCAAGTTCAAACTCAAATTTTACAAAAGAACATGAACTTGAATAAAACTATAACTTGAGTTCAAATTTTTTTGAGTTTGAGAACAAAACTCTTAGGAGATTTGAGCTCTACAAGTCAGTATGGAATCGGCTGTAATTTTGCCATTAGAATGCAGGATGCAGCCATCAAATGTTCTTTAAACTTTTGCTTTGTTAAAATTTTAATGTAACATCACAGTGGTACTACGTTGTTTAAAAAATATTATAAAGATACCTTCAAATTATAAAAAAAAAAATAATGCCCATAGATGTGTGACACCCACCCACTATCTGCGGAAAAGAACTCTTTGGCCTACATTAGCATTCTTATCGCGCTCTCACCACGACGACTCACTCTGCTGCTCCCGAGTGAAAACTAAAGGAGGAGATTCATTAACTGGGATTATTAGAAAACCAAGTATGTAATACGTGGAAGATAAATTAACGTCTCGTTCATTTCAGCGATTTGAGTTTTCAATTTCAGTTTTGTTACAGTTAAAAATTATCACAAAAAGTCACATCTAAATTTTTTTTTTTCTTGCTATAGTTAAAAATTCTCACATAAAATCACATCTCAACTCAAATTGAAAACTTAAATCTACGAACTGAACGAGGCATAATATTACTCATGGATTCAAAAAAATATATATCAGTTAAATTAAAATTTATTAATTAAAAAGATAAACTGGATATTTCGCAACCAAAAAGCGCTCATAGTACCATACTTTTTAACATTTTCTAAACAATAGGGTATTAATATGATGTTATATCACAATTCACAAGGTACTAAAATGATAAACCGCCTTCTATACAAATATACACTACCAAACTATGCTCAAATTTTTTCAATAACAATTATATAATTACATGAATGTATATTCCTTAAATGAAAGCAATTTGTATTTTTAAAGATATTGAGACAGTAAAACTAAAGTTTTATTCTCATAATTTTTTGAAAAAAATTATGATTGCTGATCTTTACACTAAAAAATAAAAACTAAACTATGCGTATCAATATGCTTTTATTAAATGAAAACAAAATATTTCAAATTTAGTCAATTATCTATTTCCTTCACATACTGATTTGCTGTAGATCAATTTTAGTATTCTAAGTTAAACTTGGTTATCGCTTTGTCCTTTTTTTTTTTTTTTTGACAAAGAATTTGAAAAGCGTATCCTAAAATTGTGCATACCACGAGTAGATCTATTTTCACAAAGATTTCTTTTTCTTCTTTTTTTTTTTTTTTGAGAAATGGAAGGGTTTTATTACAAAATTGCAAAATACCAAGTGCATAAGAGCCAATAAAGCTAGGCAAAAAATGATCCAAATAAAGTCCTATGTTTCTCAAAGAAATTCAATGAGTGAAAACCTCTTATGCATTCTAATTCAAGAAATTTTGCATTTGGATTGGAATAGAAAGGTGAGAAATCTCGTATTTAATACATCACTTAGGCTATAGCCGGTTGGTTTGATGTGGCCAACACCATTTCTACATAGTTGCCGAATTAGGCTTTGTTAACCGAGGCGGCTTGGTTGACTATGGCCAAGACATTGCTGCATAGTTGAAAGAAATTGTTGTTCAATGCGGTCAATTTTGAGGTGCCTGGCTTGAACCCATCTTCACAAGAATCCGAGTCGCTCATTGCAGCCGTCACCCACGTGTTAACATCAGCATAATGCTTAGACTCAATCACGGTGAGCGAATCAGAAAGTTGCTCGCTAGCACCTTCGTAATTCTCGGCGCAGTCTTTCAAGGCTTGTAGGGTGTACTTGTCGGTTGTTGATTTTTGGAGCTTGGAAATTTGGCTTTGAACGACTTTGGCGTTTGTTGAGGTGGCCTTGAGGGCAATCTTAGCCAGGCCATGGATGTCAGCACTTTTGCTCCCGGGGTCCCCTCGGAGCGTCTTCTCGCACAAGTCCTTGAACCGGGTTTGGCCACATGTTTGGGAGATCAAATCAGCACTCACAAATGAGATTTGGTGATGGCAGAGAGACGCAAGGATGACAAGGCAAAGACTTGGGATGAACTTCATTTTGTATCAAAAGGGTTGTTTTGGGGAGTGGAACCTTTTTTTTGGCTAATGTGATTGTTTGTATGTGTTATGGAATGGTCAGAGGATGTTTGATTCATATAGTTAAGTTTTGGTACAAATATAGAAACTTAATATGTTTTATTTTCTCTTAATAGTAATTTAAGAGTGAGAATTGCATAACCACTACTCATTATGGCACGGTTTTAAATGGTCTGGCGGATTTCTTGGGGAGAAAATTATCTTTGTTTTGATAAGAAAATCTCATTAATAGCATCTTCAATTTTAGCAAAGCTTTTTTGGGCATTGAGCATTAACTTGTAAGATTTATCGTCAAATCAAAGGCATTACACCGTTGGTCATAACGTATTTTGACTTATTTTTTCTGATTTTATGCTTATCTTTTCTCTCTCTCCATGCTAAAAATATTGGCGTTTTCTCTTTTTTGTTAGCCTGAGAGTGTGGAGATGGTACACACGTATTATTTTTATAGTCGATTTATTTCTTTCTTTATACGTAAAAGTCAAAATAAAAGAATGAATGTAATGGGAATGGATGAGATCATGAGAATAATTCTTTTTATAAATGTATATACATAAAATGGCAGGAAATAAGTCAAAATAAAGAATACGTGTGTACGTGTATTTTTTTGCTTGAATTTATAAAAGAGTTGTGACCTGTATTACTCATATATATACATACATATATCCTATAGTTTCTTTTCTTTTCCCCTCTTGTATAAGAATTTATCAAGATTTTGGATCTAACTTTCCTTTCTAAGTTGCTAATGGAAAAACAGGGACAATAAAACTATTAAATACCATTTAAGAGGGCAAATCGCCATTCGTCTTTTATCTAATCCAAAAGTGCTATGTAGTATTAAGACAGGTTTATGTTATTTGTGAGTGCTGAAGTTGGGATTTGGGTTCTCTGTCCAAATTTCCAGGTCTCAAACCTTGTTCAACCACTCATACAGTGCCACCTCACTCATGTTTCCATGTCTCCATTTTGATCCGTTTTTTCCGTCAAAGACCGTATTCCTTCATTAAAGTTACTTCTCTCTCTCCTCTCTCTCTCTCCATTCCCTTTTCTGGGACTTTAATTTCTGATTCTCTCTATGGAAAAAATATGTGGTAGGGGGTGTACTTTCCCCACTTATAAAGTGCAAAATCTAGACCATCATATTAAAATGCGTTTGGTTTAAATATTTGTGTCATGATTTGAATTATAATTCGTTACTCGTTACAGTGTTTTTTCTCACAAAAAACACACGTAAATTGAAAATAGTTCTGAATATCATTATATTAAAGGCTCAAGATAATGCTGCCCATAAAAACTAAAATGAATACAGCCATATTCGATTACGCTCTTCTTTCAAAATTTGACAATTATAATATGACCCTTATATTTTATGAAATATTAATTTTTACCTAACTAAAAATCTCAACCACAATCTAATTAGTTTTTTATCTTTAGCCATTGATTACTAAAAGTGTATAAACCCTAACACCACATATATCTATATATATTTTAAAGAGTAAAGGACTTGACTTCGAAGGATGCCGTGTGTTGGCCTTTATGAAGGTCACATGCTCTTTCTTTTTTTTTTTTCCTAATTTTTTTAACTTTCTCTCTTTTTGACTTCTTTTTTTCTTCTCTCTCTTTTTTTTCCTATTGTCTTTTTTTCTCTATACATCTAATTTAATCTAATAATACATAAGAGAGTTAAAACTCTTTTCTATAGGACCGTCACGTGAGAGCCTCTCTACTTACTTTTTTTTTATTTTTTTGAATTTTTTTATATTTTAATTTTTTATGTGTTTAATAGAAATATATTATTGCTCATTTTACTTCTATAAGAGAGTAACTTTTTTCATGTGTTTTTATTTATTTTTAGTTGGTTAATAAAATAATTTTTTTTAAATATGTCTTTACTTAATTTTTTTTTGTGAATTGTTATTTTTACATCTTTTTAAAATAAATATAAAAAACTTTTAAATGGTTGTATAAATAAATTTATCATTATTTAATAAATAATAAACTATTCTAGTGTCTCTGATTAAAAGTCTGAGAAGCCTCATCAGCCTAGCTTCCACCGGCCACCGCCAAGCCATTCTCCGAGCACCAACGAAGGTGACGGCCATCTCCACCTTCGGTTTGGGTGTGATCACCTACGAATGC